GTTGTATGTATGCAATTGGTTCAAATTCTGGTAACTGTGCTGATCCCTTGCCTTATGTGGTGTCTTCTTTCCTCATTCTTCACCATACTTTTTATTTTTTTTGTTGCTGTCTATTCCATTAACTATCTGTATTTTTAGTATTTAAACCTAAAATTCAATAACAACATTTAAGGCCAGAGTGATAGCAAATAAATAAAAATTTTAAAAAAATCCCTTGGCAAATATACCTAACTTTGAAGACTTCAGATAATCGGCATCATTTACAGCTGCAATTTTGAGGAAGCATAAAACATAAAAATGTTTTCCCTTAATGAAAATCATTTCATACTAAATAATGACCCTGTGGACTTTATCCCAGAAGCACATTGCAGAGTAGATGAAGTTGTTTTGTTTCAGAGTACAATAGTCATGACAGAAAATTACAGTAAAGAAGAGATGTACACAAAAGTAGAGGACAGTTTCTGAAATAATGAATCTAAGGTAATTTTGTTTGAAGAGAGTTAAATACATGAGTGTCACTGGCTAATACATTGTGCCATTCAATTTGAGAGGATCTATAAAGATGAGGGCTGCAAAAGAATAATTTGCATTAAAACCACATCATGGAAAGTGTTGCTGTAAATCTGGCAGCCAATGTTTCGCTGGGTTTCTCCATTATAAATATTGTAGAAAAATGAAATTGCAGTTAGGCAACATCGTACTATGGTGGCTGTTCCAAATGAGCCCTTCTGAACATCTGTGGTGGGCAACATTCCATCTCAAAATGGAAGAATTGTTGCTTGCCAAGCAAAACTGGCAGTTAAGAAAGTAGGAAAATCATCTTGATGATTATAGTCAAGAAAGACAGTTGCTACCTCCTTAAATGATTGGACCCATTTTTTCTGGTTTAAAATCTGGTTTGTTTTAAATCTGATGTCATGTATAAGTACAGTAAAACTCAATTGGTCTGGCACTCCTGATGGTCCGGCACCATCAGGAACCCAGAAGTGCTCTGGGCAGCTGGACCATTGGAGCTGCTCTGCCCCGGGCTTCCCCGATTCAGCCACTGATCAGTTTTAGCAGCGGCTGAATCAGGGAAGCTGGGGACAGAGCAGCTCCAATGGTCCGGCTGCCCGGAGCACTTCCGGGGTCCCGATGGGGCCC